TGGGATTTTCACGTAAAATTCGCGAGAGGACTTTGAAAAAATTATATTATACTTTCACTTGCTAAGCCTTCACAGATGAAAATATGGTGAATATCCTTAGAAATTTCTCTTCCTTCACCATCCTGTGAGTATATGCACACGAATGAGATGCAAATAAATGTGAGTTTGTATTCTCTTCTAATAAAAGAAACTCGAAGTTTGAATGTCTGGACGACTTTTTATGCACAGCGCCAGTGTGAAATGGTGCTATATTGATTTAGAAATTTCGCTTCAATTTATTTAAACATTCAATACATGATACTTTCATCTATTATTGCGGTTGTTTAACTTTCACGACTACTGAGTGGTGATTCTATCGTGCACAGAAGCGTCAAACATTCCGAATGTTTTGTTCTACTTTGCTGCGGTTCGGCTACGTGTTAAATTGTTTGAATTACAGCTCCAAGTGCTACTGCACATATAGCATACATTCGCCATTTCAGTTGTCTCTCTATCTTTGTCCGAAAAACAAGAATTAATCATAATTATAGGGGAGCAAAATAAAAGTTAGACTATTAAAATTGTTCGTATTTTGACAAAACCTGACTGAAATATTTGTTTACAAATTTTGTGTTATATCAAACAATAGATTTGTCACGTTAAAATAATATTAATTTCACAGAGGGAAACTTTGTCCAAAAATATGCCCTTTAATTTGTTGGCGCAAAATGATATTTGTGGTTCATCCATATATAGTTTTTCATCCTTTGTGGCCGTTAAATGCACGTGTTGCCCATTGTAATGGGGTTTTATGGTATTTTGCAGTCAGATTCGAAATTGAAGCCGAATACAAAAAAAAATCAATTTTTTGCTTTGCAAAATGAGTTATCCTTTATATATGCAGGATCCTTTATCATACTTTTCATAATCTTCTGATTGAAGAGAAAGAAAAACAACGAAATACGCAAAGTTATGTTCAAGGTCCTTCTTCTTGGCTGTGATTAATTAAATCGTATCAAATATTGCTTTATTTTTGTTGACAGTATAACTTTATAATTCATTCAAATTTTTTTCGCGAGTAATGATGACAGCTTTGGCGCTGTAAATTTTATATGAATCATTTTCACCTCGATTTAATCGAAGGCTAATAAATCATGCTTTTTACACCATCGCCCAGTCAATTACGAAAAGGTGGAGAGAAATCGATATTGGGTAGGACGAAATTTTCATGGATATTCTCGGACACACTTAGATGATAATCACAGGCCTTCACCGGCCGAGAAGGTATCTATTTTTGGGAGACGCAGCCAAAATTACGGGTACTTAAGTAAATCAGGCATACTTAATACTGTCGAGGACTTAATTAAGGAGAATGGGCGCTATTGTCTCTGGAGATGAGGGCTCAATCGATTGGGAATGGCCGACTGCTGTGGGATGCGGAGATGGGCAATAATTGATAGTTTTGCACATACCCAAGGTCCACCTTGATCCCAGTATCCCTCGGTAATGCCGTCTGCCCACTGCGACTCGAGAGGCAGCTCCGGTTCCGGTGGCCATCGTGGCTTGCTGGACCTCGGAGTGGCGGAGTCTCCCCCACGGGGGCACCACAACACCGACTGAGGGCACCCTATGTTGACTTCTTTGTCTCACTCTCCAACACACCGCCAGCAACCCTTCCCCACTTGTCCACTCACACACTTCTTCCGGCGCCGCGACAAATAGGATTCTCACTGGAGATCTGATACTGGGTCGAATGGAAGCATGTCAGTAAAAATGGTACGCTCAATTGAAAGAATGTTCATCCAGCACACTTCTTTCACCTCACGGTCGCGTTATTGGCACTAATACAGGTATTTTCACCTCAAACCCAAGCACGCAACCACTCTCTGAGCTACTTACAATCGTGCCAAATCACTTCCGCCGCATTTCAATTGTATTCAATGCAACGGAAGGAAAATATGCTGGATAAGAGATCGAAAATTGTTGTGGAAAGTATTTTGTTGAAAGTGAAAGAACTAAATTAAATTTCTCATCATCTCCTTCACACCCATAGAAATGGAAGTGAATTTGTATTTCTGTTTTCCTTTGAGCTTCAGACAAGACTCTGTAAATTAATACTCATTGCTCATTAGATCATTTTAATAGGATTTATTTATTAAATACTTTATATCTCTCCTATGAAAATTTGCAGGAAGTAAATTGAAGGAGTAATTATGCATAAGTATATAATTATAAACTGTCATCTTTCTCTCTGAAAATTATAATTATCATTTTCGCAGAAAATGAGCTTCAACGAAGTTCACAGCGAGGTTTGTTTCTAACACCAATTCAGTGTGTTTTTGAGTTGTTTTATGTGTTCTAGAGAAGCTTTTCTAACCATTTTAAATTACACATTGCGTGTCAAACATACAGTTTGGGAAAGATTTCTTCATAATAAATTTTGTGGAATAAATGTAATGGCTCACATTTTCTTACTAATGTCTCAATTTCTCTGCACCCAAGAGTTTCTGTGTTTCAGAACATGTAAGAATATTTGGAACATTTACTCTTCGGCAAATCAAGCTGAAGATTGCGATACACTGCTTGAGATAAGTATTGTTCCTCGAGAGGACAGTTTATCCCACAACATTCTCTGAATGTGAAGGTAGAAGAAATTGGTTATACGATCACTTTTCTTAAATATCATTTTCGCATGAGTGGCTTTCTTTAAATTCTCCATAATTCCCCGAGTATCAGTGACAGTATGCTTTTGCAGAGGAATTATTCAAGTAGAATGAATTGCCAACACTTGAACTGCTATCACACATTTTCTTTCCTTTAGTTATATGTATCAGTGTTATCATACAGCCAACCAACGATAGAGGAGAGCTTCTTGTATCTTGAAGAGTGGGAAGTACTCTTTCGGTAACAATGAATGGTGAAACACATTTTGTATAGAGACGACAAAGATGACATCCTGTATTGTTTATTTTTATCAATTTATCCCATTCACCGAAATGGAAGTGAATTGAGAAAGATAGAAATTCTCCCGAGGAAAACGAAAAACGCATAAAAGACGAGATATATATATATATATACTACCTATTATATAGATGGAAAATCTGTGTTGGTAAAGTATTGATGTGTTTATAAAGTTGAATACTCTGTATGTCGACCAGCCACTCTAGCGTGGACAGAAGAAAGTCAGGAATATGAAACTTCTACTGCCAGAAAATAATTGTCTGCCCAATTAATTTGATCATATAGTTGATATTAATTCTCCCTTTTCCCGATATCGAATTGAATTCGCTAAATTAAGACATATCAGTTTGTTGACAGACGTAGTTTGCTCTCTCTCTCATCGATAAGATTGACATCAAGAGTGAGGAAATTTCTTTGTGTCGAAGAATCACAAGTAATCCGCTTAAAAGCACCACGCGGTGAGACCATAATCCGATTTCGGTATAGAATAAAATCTGTTTACCGAGGGCTCTATTATGTGCATTCATTGATTTTCCATCTTGTGTGGCTAATGCGGCAAAAGTGTGTAAAGTTTGTAAATAATCATACTGTATAGTGTCGAAATTCAACAAGAGGAACCCTCAAAATATACGTATGTTCGCGGTCGGATCTATTTAAGGAAGTAAACAGTGTGGAGCAAAACTGTCGACCTCGTGGCGGAAAATGGCATTTTTCTTTTCAAGAATTAATTTATCAAGGAATGATAATACTCTCTTAACATCGCTGAGCTTTACAAGAACCACTGTGAACTCACCAACCAGATCAACAAGTTTAAATATAAATTCACATCATTGATTAATTTCTTAGACTGCATGAGGAAAATGTTTGTTAAACAAACGCAAATGTCATCACAATCCACAGTCCAATATATAAAGTTAGATTACATAAAAATATGTTATTTTGGGCATTAAAGAAGATTTTAATTTCGTTTCCAATGCTTAGAAGATCCACTTTTAATTAGATGTGTTTTGTAAACACAGAACAGAGAGGGAAATACAAGCTTCTAGGTCGAACAGGAATGTGCTAAAAACTTTACTTTTGAATACTTTTTGACTCCACAAATTGAACAGGAAAGAGCCAAGCACAGGCTTTTGCACATGTTTTGTCCACAATGAAGTGACTTTTGCCTGAAAGTAATTAAAAAGAGCTTTTCTTAACAGATGAGGTAGATTTAAATGTGAATCACTCTCTGGAGTTATTCTGTCCTACTACAATCTCACATGAAATTACAAACAAAGCTTCAGCCACAGAAGAAAATATATACGAAAATTTGATATTAATTTGAAAACTTTTGGTCGGCGGTGGAGAACAAAGTTTTCAGATGCTGGAGCGTCTACAACTTTTTGCCACACACTGTTGTATTTTTTTTTGCTTCTTCAATTAGATCACATGCTGAGAGAGTGGTTCACTTGAAAATTCTGTCCGTGGCACAACAAAATTATGCACTTTTTCGACAAAGTGTAAACGAAAGGCGAACGGATTCACAATCTCTCTTTTCCCAGCAGGAACACCGCCCTATTTACGCTCTTCAATAGCACTGCCCATAGGTTCTCTATTCCCACATATAATCCTTTTTCACTTGTCCAGCCACTCGGCTGATGGTGTTGGCAAGATAGCCGGCACTCAGTCGAGGAGGCGACAAATTGGAGACTGAACAGGGTGGAGAAGGTCGCGATGGATTAGAGCTAGAGCAGCGCGAGAAATTCTGCTGATTGAAGGAGTGTGTGTCTTCCTTGAAACTAACAAACTTGGGAGGTTGAAGTTGGTCTTCAGGCGGAGAGACCGCGCCTGGAATTGACTTTCACGTCAGGATCCAGTGAGGCGCAACACGACACTGGAGAACCTGACACTTCTCCTGCGGAAGCACACCCCAAAGCCCCCGAGAGAGCTTTCGGTGTTGTGTTGGAGGAGGAAATGTCAGGGGAAGTTAGGGGTTCACAGGGCCGAAGACATGCCGACGGGATTGACTTCGGCGCAGACACTTGGGCGCATGAATCGAGAACAAGTGAAACATTACTCACCTGCTCAGGTTTTGGTGAGGACAGTGGCAGCATAGGCAGCGGTCTCGATGGCCCATTTATGAATTTGTCCTGCCTCGACTCCCTCGGCGTCGTGTTCTCGTACAAATTGTGCACGCTGCTGAGACGCTTGCGGGAGTGAATGGGGTAGCTTCCCATGTTCACATGCTCGAAGCTACTCGAGCTCACCTCACCGAAGCGCGCCTGATGCCAGCGACGCATCATTGGGGATCTGTCCACAATGCGATCACTTTGATATTGCACTCCGTAGGGCGGAACACCGCACGAGTTCCTGTCACTGTCACTGGGATGGAGGCTCCGGAAGGGAGCCAGGGGCGGGTGCCTCAGCCTCTGGCTGCCCCCATCCATCTGACACAACTTCTTTCTCCTCAGCTCTGAGTCACCCCTCTTGGGGCTCAATTGCGGTTGCCTCGGCTTCGGGCTGGTCTTAATGTAGTACCAATCACTCAATTTGCGCTGCTTCTCCAGATGCTCGAGACGCTGCTGTCGCTCCGCGTCATCGGCCTCGAGGTCTGCCTCGTTGAGATGGAAGGGACCCCGCCGGGTGGTGGCCCGACTCGGTGGGACTTGAGATCCCTGATTGATTGTGTCTGGTGTGCTCGAAAACACCGTCTGCTTCGCATCGTGGGTGAGCTTCAGTGTCTCCAGAGCACTGTTGTACCTTTCCAGTGAATCACAGCTCAAATGGGTGCTCTCGTACAACTCACAATCTGCAAATGTTGAGAATGAATCATCATTGCAACAGATAGTATGTATGATATATGCATGAAGTATGAGAGGTTACTATTTGTGGGGAATCGTCGTGGGATTCCATGAAAGAATTTCCACAACTAACGCCGGATATATCAAGTTATATTTAGGTGTTGCATTAAGAAGAATGTTCTCTACAGATTTAAGAAACAACCAGAAATAGGCAAATAAGCGCAGTTTTCACTAGGTTTGCTGGATTTTCGACAATTAGATAAATCAATTTTGATATTTATGATATTCCATACATTTCTGGGATATTATGCATAATAATTATTAAAAACTATATTGATATTTTTTGTCAAATAAAAAAAAATTATACAAAACGCAAATGAAAATGTCTGCCTGAGGCACAATTTTAATTAATTTTATATTCATTATTATGCATTGATATTGAACGTGAAACTTTTTCATTATTGTAGTTGAAATGTGCAATAAATGTATGTATAAATATTTAGCACATATAATTATCCATTTTAGCATAACACATATGTATATACAAAGTGTAAAGAGTTGGGCAACCTAAAGAGTCAAAACCATTCAGGCAAAAATCTATAAAAGCACACGGGAAAAATTTTATGAAACTTTCCAATTTACGCGCTGAAATTTACATTGCCTTATGTGTTGTGATATTTTTTTTTTGTTTTGTACGCCTCCACTGCAGTCAGACAGAAATACATTATGGCGATGTATAGTGTAATTGGTGGCTTCTTTAACGATAAATCTGGGCATATTTCTCCAACAATGATTACACACTTGAAACATCTTGCAACGCAATTTTTGTTTAGTTAGGCCATAAAAATAAAGTACCCAGTTCGTCGAGTGTAAGTTTTGATTGAGCAATTACCCAATTAGAAGATAATTTATTTCTTTTGCACATCTTCAAGACAACCCACGCTTCTAGGCGACCCGCTCGATATCACTTCGCCTTGTGCACCCACGATAATTTACAACTTAGAGGTCACAGTGTCACACATTTGCTTTCCAGCATTCCTCAGCGGAGGACACGGAGAGAGATGTGATTCCCTACGTGTCGTCTGGAGTGCGAACAAAGTAGTAAAGTGTGTTTGATGGGTTAAAAGTGGAGAATCATGGCATAAAAATTGATTGGACAGTTTCTGCATTGTCACCTCACTTTTCATGTTTATGACTCTGAGTGTTGTTGCGTTTGTCTCAGCTCTGGTACATCTTGCTTTAGTAGAGCAGATGAGAGATGCCACCTTAGAGGCTCGCCGAATGGAGTGGCGGTCTATTTTATATGTTGAAAAGACGCATTTCTGCCACTCCATGACGTTGTGAATGCTATGGTTGAATGAATTCTACCGAGGGGATATAAAGAACATCTTCTGTGCTGTATATGGATGTGGCATTTCCATGAAAAAAGTGTTTTCCCATAAAAATGTTCCCCATTCACACCAGCGAATGCGTATGGAGGCCCTGCTCTCTGCATGGTGCTTAATTTTACGCACATATCAGCATTATGCTGATGGCGAGGAAGGCACCATGGGAGAGCCTTCGAGTGGTAAATTTTTCATTAGCCAGAGGTGCTGAATGGGGGCCACTTGAATTACCTTCAGCATGATGTTGCTGCAATTTCTTCGGAGTGTTTGGTGGACTGGAAAAACTGCCGCCGCTGCTCACAGAATCCAAGAGGCCGTCGAGGCTGAGTGCGTCCGTGGATGTCGCCATTGTGTGTGGCATGTAGTGGGCTGAAGCGGATTGTCTCAGAAGACGCTGCAAGGAATGCATTTGAGATCAGCGAGGTGGAACAGTAAGCAGATCATATGGGGAATGCCATATAAAGTTTTCATGTATGCACTTGGCAAACATCACCCACTTTTATGCAATAAGTTCCAGAGGATTTTACTGTTTTCCTCGAGAGTTTCGGGGAGAGACATTCATAAGCATTACTCCAAGACAACAGAGAAATGTTCTGGGAAGATTATGTTGAAAATGGCATCAGATTGAGTTCGACGAAGGTTTCACTTGAAGGTTTTCGCTTGAACTTTTGAAAATTAATACTACTTGCAATACGCTCGATGCATTTACTTTGCCTTATCTCAATGGCATTTCATTCTTCAGTGCTGCGGTCGAAGATTTTCAACTTTTGGCACTGTTGCCAATAGAAACCATCAGATCAGCAACAATAAATTTCACAGCGTGCAAACCGTGCAAACTCACAAAAGTGACATTGATATATGATACATAGCTTATTTGGTAATGTAGATAAAGAAAAGATTCACAATGAAAAAGATTCTCAAAATGTTTATTAAACATTCAGAAAGTCAACAGTAATGTGAGTAACATAATGAGAAGAATTTCACGTAGAGAAAAATGTTTTAGGCCATAAAACGAAAAGAAGCATGCCTTCGGGACTCACAACAGTATGTGTATCTTAGAGACGCAGTGAGAGAAATATTAATAGATGCGAATAAGGTAAGCAATCGTGATTTTACCGTGCACAACTGACCTGCAGTGGAGCTTCAGATTCCTCACTCTCATCACTGCTGGAGTAGCTGGATGAGGACGAGTAGCGGCGCTGTTCCGGTGGCCAGTAGTGATGAGTCTTGTGTCCCCAGGAGGAAACCGGCTGAGGACTGCTACATCGGCGAAGAGGCACTTTAGCGCGTCGAACAGGTATGCGAGATCGGAAGGATGCGGATTTGCGGAGAGAGGTCATCTTCCCGGACACTGGTCGTCACCACTCCTCACAAATACCCATCACGTCCAGTGGCGAAGGGGATTGCCGGCATCTGTGTGCAGAATGTAGGAGAGGATAAGAGTGAAAGTGTGAAGAGGGCAAAAAAATATCAGGCAAGCACACACATAAATTTATTTGGCTTTTGTCGCTTAAAGTTGGTCACATCAGTCTCGGAAAAGGTAAGACACGATTTGAACATAAATTACCATTTTTGCCAGTCCCAAGGGAGTCACTTTGCTTTTTTTGCACGTCGACTCTCAACTTCCCTAATAAAATAGATTGGGCAATGCTGCGCAACTCTCATGGTAATCTTGATGCGAAGGTCCGGACCGGAGAGACACACCGCCCCATATAAAATTTAATTCAATTTACAAAGATTATTTCATTATCCTGACACTTGAATGAATTAAGTGGGTGGAAGATGGCGAAATTGTGTTGTAACATCTGCTCAATCATCCAATGACACTGCGGCGTGGTATAAAATAATTGACCTCACAGAGTCACCGAATTAATATTAATTGAATGATCGCTATACATTGCCTACATTCAATATCTCTAAGTCACCAGACGTGCCACTAAATATTCATCATTATGTCTTATTTGAATACATTTTATTTGAGCATTAGGCTCTCCATCTGGGCGGAGGCATTGAGCCTCCCAATGAATTAGATGGAAAAAAGCGTATTAATAACCTGTTGCTCCATTCAGTTGGACGCCCAAGTCGACACATTACCTGTGAATGGAGAGCAAATTCTCACGCAATGTCACAGAATTAATCGCATCTCGAAGCCGATAATTGCCTATCTTCCATTTTCATAGTTTTCTTATTTCACTGTGGGATTATGAACTACTTTTTGTCCCGAACGCGCTGAGAAAACCTTGTTAATCGAACTACCAATTAGCTTTAAGATGCTTTTAAGTGTTTTCTCCGCGGATCCTCTATACATTCAAATTTCATCATTTCTCTTTTCTCAAGCCCCGGAGATCAAGATCATAAATTATAGAAAGTGAAGCAGTTTGTCGTGTTTTTCCTCCCGAACTGTTAAATCTTCTGCTCGTGAAATACATACAGTGGCAGGAATAAATGACTGGACGCATAATGAAAATGTAGAAAATTATGCACAACATATCAGATAAACATTCTTCGATATAACGGTAAATTTATGGGAATAGATTTTATTTTAGTAAAAATAGAGATATTATTAACAGTTGTCACAGCTTCTCTGCGACAAATGCTTGAAGCATATGTGTGATCGGCAAATTGTCAAATTGCACACACTTTAATAATGATGGAACTATGTGCGATTCATGCACAACATTTGTACATAAGTTTATTCGTATAAGCTTGTCAAAATCAACACACATTTGTGCGGCAAAAGCATGGCTATATATTTTCTTCTCTATCAAAACTTTGTAACACCTGATGAAAGGTGAGACCACACATTTAGAAAGTTATGGCGAAATGCTTTGCTTAAGTCTCGAAGCAAAAGTCCTCTTAAATGTGCTCTCAACTGTATTTACTTCGTATCTTTGTGTTCCAAACTTTCTGACTTGCCACTTCATGGGTGACTATTTATAAAATGATAAGCCATGAGTAAAAATGATGCACCCAAACGTTGGGACCACTGCAGCGCCATATATCAAATCCTCGTGGTGCATATTAATTTCTTTTTGGAAGCCAATTGACAAGTTGGTTCCCTCCGCTGTGCCAGAACAAAAAAAAACACTGATACAACACCGAATTGTGGGGATTTTATTTTTATAGTTGAATTAGTTGTCAAAGAGAGATATTTTTGCATTTTACGACTTTCATGTTTGGTGAGTATTTTTTTTTTTATAGTGTTTCAACTGTCCCGCTAATGTGTTTTATACACTCTTTCTCTCTCTCTCTCTTCAGAATTTCATCGTCAGGGATCTCATTTCCGGACATAACATATGTGAAAATTCCTCCTCATGCTTGTCCATTTTAACTCAACATTTTCACGTTTATCCTCTTTCAGCGCATTATTATCACTTGCCTGTGTGCGGTCATGTTCTAGTTCTCTCACACCGCAACGAATAATTGTGTGGCTGAAGTTTTGTCTTTTCAATTATCAGCCTTTCTCTCTTTCCCTTCCTTTACGGAATATAATTTACCTGGAACTGGAGTGGAAAAGTAAATATGTCAACACTAGCAAGTGTCTACTTTTTTTTCTTCATCTCAAATTGGTCGCTTTTTATACATACATATATCGCACAAATACCGTTTCCACATGTGCTTTCCTAACACAATTCCATCCATCTGCGCATCAAATCCATGGTGCAATAGTTACAGTTTTCGAGTGACTCGACCAGTCCACAGCCATAGCCAACAATGAGTTTTGCGAGAGAGAAAACAGCATTTCTCCGGCATACTGTCGCGCAATTACAACTCTTTATTGCCGACTTTTATTGCATTCTACTAGTTTGTACATTCCCCATTAATTATCTCGGACTTTGCATTACGGCCTACAATTTCATTTGCGAAATGGATTGCTGGAAACTTTCAAGTCTTTTTCTACCACTGATGTTTCCTCCCAAAAAAAATTTTCCCAAATCTTCCGCGTCCATCCAAATTGGGTGGAGCAACTAAAGCCATATTTCATTTGGAGATTTGTAAGAATACCGACACGAGACTCGAATTGCATGTTTGACTGCGTGTGGTCTGGAAAAAGTTCCTTTCTTCTTATAATTCGCTTATTTATGTCTGTATGAATATATGAAAATAAACCCAGTGAAGGATCAAAGATATGGGAGAAACCATTAGGAGAATCTCGCACGGAAGCAAAATCAAAATAAATAGATAAATGAACTAAACATTGCGCAGAATCTCATGCAAAAGACAATAATTATTGTATCTTAGTGATCTAAAATTTTGGCTAAAACCACATATTCACTTGAAACAAGTCAATCTTTGCTATCGCTTCGAGTATAAAACAAATAAAATACTTTTCCTCTCAGACTTACATACATAAAACATACAGCATTCTGAGGCAAAAGGAATCAGGTTAGTCTGACAATTTTCTCTTATATTGCTTTTGCACCTTGCCATGCATGAATTCAGTACTTCTAAGAATACTCAGCATTGTATGCTTAAGAGGAAACATTGATACCAACATCTGTGTTGATTTCATCGCGAATCTCGGTGAACGTCATCTTAAGTGATTACAAATTGATGAGACACAGTTTGTCTCTTTAGTCAGAGCGCTTTTGTGAAATTCAGCAGAGGGAAAAGAGAGAGTTTTGACTGTAGATATTAATCACAGTTGCGCGCCACTGAGTGTAAACAGTTCTGCAATAAACAGAGTCATCTTCCTCTGACAAATCGTATAGTGTCGTGTGTTGTTTGTGGGAACGAAGAAAATGTGGCAGAATCTTGTGTAAATGGTGGAAAAGAGTGTGTTTGACTGAATTGTGCAACCAGTTCAGTTGCAGTATTACCATGAAAGGACATTTCCACGGTAAACAGCATCACAAGCACTCTCAGCGACATTTTCACTTCTTTTGGCTGCACTCAAATCTCCACTTTGACCATTGCAGGAGTCGAAAAATCACAGAAACAGTTTCGATTATTAGATTTTTGCCACTCATGATGGCGTCCACTTTTTGCCCATCTGATGTTTTTTTTCCAAGAGAAATTCCATTCAAGTGGCCAATTCGGCCACACATGGACCTGATGAGCGCAATTCTTGCCACAAGAAACCAGAAACTCTCTCTTTTCTCTCTCCAACATTCGCCACGAGCGCTAAAAATGTTCAACAGCGTTGTTATTATTTTCAGAGCAAATTCATCAAATTCCAACGTGAAAGAAGTAAAAGAAATACTGGAGAGAACTTTGTGTATATTTTTAGTTCAGATTTTATGGTGAAATAATTTTCAATACACTCCAATTTGCATGCATGAAAAGTTAATTATACTGGACATGTGTAAATTAGTGGGGGAGAATAATAATGAGAGTAATGCAACTAATTAAATTTTCTGATTCCTGTGCAATTATCAGCAATTGTGGAATCGTTTTGTAACCATGTCCCGTCTAGCGTGAAATGATAGACACAAATGGTCAGTATGAAATTATTACGTATACACAAATGGACTAGAATTTGGTGGATTATTTCGCCAATATTGTAGAAATGGAATTTAAATGAAATCAATTGAGTATTTCTAGCTAAAGAATTTTCGAGATCATTTGCAAACAATTTGCTTGCCATTTTTCAGGCACTTGCCATGCAAGAAAACGCACTCATGAGTGGAGGGTGCGCAGTAAGAGTGTTATCTTACTCCTAATTGATTTTGAAATATCACCTCAGCGCTTTTTCGCTTCTATTTAAGTGCATCTCGTGCACAAAGTGTTAACGGTTTACGAGGAAAGCAACATTTTCCTTATTGCAATCTCTCAGCCCGTGTGATGCACAATATTGTAGCCAGAAAGTACACACTGTGAATAGTTTGTAGCGCTTTTGGCGCTATTTGATGATGTTGACAATGACACTTCTTGCAACTCTCTGCAGCATCCTCGGGATCTTCAGCACCCGGCACAATGCGCCGTGCACTAAAGTCAGACAGACAAAGAAGTTGATAAACCAGTTTCATTCTTTTGTTCCCATTCTTGGTTATTACAACCTTTTGTAGTTTGTATGTAATGCCATGGCAATAATAAGCTCAAGAGCGGATGGACTGATGATAGTCGGTCGTCTTGATATCAATTCGGTTCAAGTTTCTCTTGTGTTTCAGCAAACCCCTTCTTTTGCGCCACGACTTGAGACATCGTGATTATATTTAACATTCGCTACAATATGAATTCCCTCAACTTATTCGCAACAGTACACTTTCATGTGCTCTGGAGACGTGCACCCAGTTTCGGATATTTGCTTTCATATACGCCACAGGTCGATGACTCGCGGTATCTTTTCAAAATAACCACCAGAGCAGACGTAAAGTTAGTTCTTGTCATGATTCCCGTGAGATTTCCCATGAGAAGTGTTCTCTGTCCGATTTCTGTGTCGCAGATGTACAACTGCGGCTTATCTATTGATTTACCATTCCCATTTCACACTGAAAATGTCTTCTTCACCTGCAAGATGGCTAAGATTGAGGAATTTGGACAGCTAATTAGTATGAGAATGAATACAGAAAGAAAATCACTTTCAGTTACACAATATTTGTACAGTATTATCACTGATAAGGTGTAATCTCGCGCTCATTAAAATTTTTGTCGGAAAGTCTCTCCATTCTACACGACATTTCCCATAATTAACCCATTTGAGACATATAATTTTTATTTGAAATAAATTAGTGCTCTTCCTTTAGCCAATAATTGACTTTGAAGTCAATTGAAGAAGAACCAAAGCAAACAAAGCATTGCAAATGTCGGGAAAATTTCTTCTGAGATGCAAATCCAAGACATCTGCATAATATATTCACTCCTAGACGAATATTAACTTGACTTTGGGTCACTTGAAACAATATTGAATGTTCTTCGTCGACATACATATAAAATGCAGTATATTGGTTCATGTTTGTTTTGCTAATGTTACAATAGAGACTTTCAGATAGTGTGCCTCAGTGGAATACACAGTAGCCATCAATGAACCCACATTTGCTGAGAAAATATTTGAGCGTTCAAAGATCAGAATCGCTCATGATATCGCTGTTGTGGGTGGAATTTTGAAAGGGAAAAACGTTCAAGTTCTCCTTATGATCGAGTGTGGAAGATTTTAATGGGTGAAATTAGATTTTGGCACGAGTAAGTTGACTGAAAGAACGCAGTCACATGAGAAAATCCAGCTTTGAGGCAAAAACTACTCTTGTAGCAAAGGATTCCAATTAAATTGCGAAGGAAAATATGTCTTCTTTTCACTTCACTCATAGGCTGTGGAAGTCTATCGAGATCTTAAGAACACACACACAGTTATTTCTGACTGGTTGAACAAAGGCACTTTGCGGAAAGAGGGAAAAACACTCAGAGTTTTCCGTTCTTACGAATTTTTCTCCATGTGGCCAAATGAATGTGTAGGTAGAGCGTCATATCCTATGGAGTCATCATCATTAATGTACAGGGGCACGGAAAAAACCGGCAAAATAGCGTAAAAGTGTGTTTGTACGCTTGTTCGATGGCAGAGAGAAATTTTTTGCTCATTAGTGTATAGTGAACTTTTTCCCTTCCATGACAGCGCCTCGACTTCCACCGCGGGTCAATACATCAAACGAATTGTTTTCATGCATGTGAAGTTGTAGTGTGAATTCTTTTTCGCATTATTCGAAAGCGATGAAGAATCAAGTATGGGATGATGGAATAGGAGAAAATGAGAGTCATTGAAAATTGTTGCCACTTTTGGACTGTTTGGAAATTATTCATGACACGTTCTCCCGATAATGAATATTGTATTTGGGTGGAAGGAGTTGAATGGAGGAAAAAAAGAGAGTGAACGTACCCTTTCAAAGACACATTCCATGCCCAAAAAGTCAATCAATCACCGCCGATTTGCCATTTTAAGTGTCTCCTGTATGGCCACGCGAAGTATAATTACAACACATCCGGCCACTATCTCCTTGTGAAGCGTATTGTTTCTCGAAGGAGAAAATACACCAAGTCTACAGAGAGAATGCAACTTCACGATTATACTTGGCACTTTAATGAGTCTAGGCATGGATCATAGATTATAAATCATCCCAATCGGTTAAGTGTGACAAGTTCATCTGACGATAGAGAGACAGATAAGGGACCACGATGCCGCTGATGGCCAATGATTTGCATTCATGCATTTTCATTCAGCACTCTGTGCTCTCAAAGAGAGCTTTCCAATCATTTGCCTCTAATTAGTCAACAACTCTGCCTCGCAGGCCATACGGCCTGGCCACTGGGAAAAGGCGCTCCATGAATGGAAAATGAGTCATATCAACTCACTAATTATCACTTTTCATGTACTCGTCTCTTTAACATTCAATCAAAGTACAGAATACGATGTGAACAACCTGATGGAGAGCCATGGGAGAGAGATTCTATGTTAATAGATGTCTTAATTGTGGGTGTAACTTAAAAGCGAAAAAAAACGAGTCACAAGAATGCATTAAAGCACGCAAATCATTATAATAATGCATGGATAATAATAGCACTTGAGGCTTAAAGTGGCATTAATGTGTTATGGTAAAAAAGAATGATAAATACACATAATAGTTGTTTAAAAAGTAAATGGAATCGACTTAATACGGCTTGTGCATAAATTAGAGATTGGGGAAAGTGGAGGAACGTAATGAAAGAGAAATGGGTGGAAAAGAGTATTACAGCGCTGCTTTTTGAAGTCGTTTTGTTTTTAATGAGAAATATTCCCAGATTCGTACATTGTTCGCAAGAATGATCTATTTGTAATTTTCCTTAATATATAGCCTTAAATTAAAATAAATGACATAAATATCCTGCGGTAAAATATAATGGATTCAGTTCAGGCCATTCAGGTTGAAATTTATAGCATATTTTGTGTTTTACATAGAAATTATTAAAATTATATGCCTCATTAGCCTGTAATTATAGAGACAATCATTCTGAACGGAAAACATTTTAACTTTTTGTATATGTCTCTAATTTCCAGACTGATTCTAGACCACATCTTGATATTAAACAGAATAGTCGAACTAATATTCGCTGATGTAATTGTCAATTTGCAATTTTCTAATTGATAACTCTTCAAATTGTAGTAAATAAAAGTCATGTAATTGAGATTATACATAGATTATATACATCAAATGTACAAATTAAATAAAATTATTCATTTGTTAAATTTTATTTAATTTAACTTTTGTGTGATGCTCTTTAACGAGTTGTTATATTACGCGAACAATAAACATTAATATTTATGAATGAATTGTTTCAGAAGCAAAATGGAATGTTGAATGATATAAAAGGAAATCATCATAATTATGCTTGTAATAATATAATTTCTGATTTAATTATTACAGATACCGTGAAAGTAATACCATGTAAGAAATGAACTTTTAGAAGACTCATCTTCTGCGGCTTGCTTAAGAGTAATTTCATTGGGTAACAGATGATAATGCTAGACTGCAAGCGGGAGATGGTATAATTTGGAAAATTGCAAACAATCCATCTGAGCAGAGATCTTTTCCTCCTTATTCACTCGCGAACATCTCAAAATCTAGTTCATGTTTACCATAAATCAAATGCAATTGAATAACAAGTCGAATGCGATTCGTGAGCATTAAACAAAACGCGCATATTTATCCAATTATCGAACAGGGAGAGAAAACAATAGATTGTTAGAGGAATTAACGATGCCGATGTCAAAATACATTGAAAGACAGAGGACTGTATGAGTTGGTAGACCGGAAAATGGTCGTTAGAAGACGCCGCGGAGTACATTATCTGAAAAATTGTGGAGGAGAACAGAGAGATGAAAAAAAGTCGAATTGAGTTCACGATAATTCCTCCCAATCTACACCAAATATGAAAATTTCTTTTTATAGAATATTAAAGTGTTTCGACAATTTCGTGATCGTTGACTTCCGATCCCACGCTTCAAGTTGGCTCAGAGTGAGCGCCAAGATTGTCTTCCTACCAGCAAGATCTGTGCCATCCAACGTTATATTTTTCAACAAGAATGTCTCTCATGCTGGAAGCGTGGCGAAAACAGACATAGAAAACTCGTGTACATATATTTTCAAGCTAAGCCCACACAATAAACGTTTTTTTTCCTCCACAATGACATTTGATTTGTTTGTGCTTCTTTTTCGGGTACTTTTTGAGTAGCAATTTGAGAAAGACAGAGGCAAAAACACGGAGTATTCAAATACTTTTGCAAAGGCATCGGCAGAGCATGAGGACCTTTCAGTGCTCGCGGAAGATGGAGCATGTGGAAGAATTGACTCATCATGATCATGTTTTATTTTTAAAACTCTAAAGCACAAATATATTCTCGAGTGTGCACGAACATTACCATGTTCCGATGAAATTATCCAGAGGTTTGATGTGTAGATTTTGGTGTGCAACAAAACTGTACTTAGTGTTGTTGCCTGCAGCACTTTCTTACAACACAAATATTATTTATACAACGAGGAAATAATATTTTCACTAGTCTGCTCTCTGGTCTGCTGCCAGTCCAAAATAGACGATGGTCGGTGTTGTGATGAAATCAAAGAGGATGAACTCCAAGACGCGCTGAATTATTTCTCTTTTTTTTTTCACTCAGCCAAAATTCCATGCACTATGATCACAAACATTTAATTCACATACACATGTTTTTGCCACTCGACAAAACACATAAACTATACGGTTGTAATTTGGGCACTACAAAGGAGAATCCACTCGAAATGATGTTCTGCGTACAATAAAATATTAATCATTGCTTTGACTACACTGCTCATCCACACAGATGCAAGCCACAGAATTCACGGAAGCCACAGAAAAGACAATTCAAAGGCAATGCGCATAAACAACAGTCAAACTCGCGTGCGGTTCTGTGCGGACGCGACGATCCTCCACAACCAACGATCACAGTGAGACTGAGCGGAGTTGCGAATGGGAGAGACCACGAGGTCACAACAGTCGAGTGATCACGAGAGAAACTGGAAGTGTGTTCTCTCGCAGTCTCTCACTGGAAAGCGACAGACTGGAATATGATCTTCACGTACGATCAAGTTCATTGATTTGTGAAAATCATCGCGATGTATCACACTTGCTGAGCAAGAGTTAAGATTTCGTGTTTTCCGGAATATTTCTAAAGATGTTTTCATGCAAATATTGCAAAATTCAAGTAACCCTGAGTAAAAAGTCACCAGTTGCTTTTAGCGCTGAAAAGAACGATTTATCCAACATATATTATCAACTTTTCTGTACATGATGAAAGTTCTTAGGCAATATTTCTTACATGTGCCTCCTGCTATTATTGTGTAAGACGAAGTGTGCTGGAGTAGTTTCAGGTCTCAGGAGGAAGAAGTACGAAAGTCAGACATTAGTGAGTTGTCCTACGTTTTGCTCCAATTTATTAATTTAACATGATTCTGGTGTCATACAAGATTCAGTGAGCAATTTGTCAAAATCACACAGCAGGGAATAGACACAACTAGCAATATTATTGTTTCAGTAAGGTCAAGTGTCGAGAAGCGATGCTGCAGAGCCCAGAAGGTGTTTCCTCTTCATACATTATTAACATGCCTCCTTTATATCTGAGATTATGAATTTCTTTGAGTGGTCTGGGTGGGCAGAATGGACGTGAGTGACTCTTCTAGCGCAGGAGCACCCTAATTTTGTTTACTTGCCTCATAAATTGCCTTGTCTGCATCTCAAAAATTTATAACACTCAAGGGGTAAACATGTGTCACTCTGAGTGAACCCGAATTGCGAAGATTGCGTAATTACGTCAATATTTCTGAAAATTATCTGAAGTACTTTAAGAAATTATTTCAAGTTATTATATAAAAATGATAGTTTGTTAGTAAACGTATGCTAAAATTTCAGCGAAGGTTTAAAAGATTTTTAGTAATCCGAATGCTAAAATTTTAGAGAATGGTGGATAAATTTTTATACCTTAGTGATGTGATAGGTTTTAGCAAACTTTTCTACAATCATCCTCAGATTTTTTTACTAGGGATTGTGGATTACTCTTGAGATTGCGATGATTGCATTCTCTGTGAATCATAATTGCGCCACATATTTACCCCTTGATGACACTTTCATAGGATTTCATCTCTTTCAACGTTCTTCCTGGTGGACTGTCTGATTTATTTACACATTTCGCTGTAATAAAAGTGTTGACAAAGTGAATTTATTGAAGTGGGGCGGAAGGGGAAAATGTGGGTGAGAAGCTGTGCATAAAAGCTTTGACTGACACCAAATTTGTTTCTTCCGCCCTGATTTATGATTCTAAGTGAATTTTCCGGCTCAATTCTCTAAAATCAGATGGATTTCTTTTTAGTTCTTCCGTCAGCCTGAGTGCGGGTGACTGGTTGGAAAATCTCCGCTATAATTTATTTCCATGCTGGAGAATCACACATAAATTTGCCAGGGATTTCATATTAGAGGAGAAGGAACTTATATACACGAGAGAAACTCGTGAAAGCAATCAATAAAGGAGTTTTTTTCACGCCCCATTTCATCTCTGGCTTCTGTTTAAGCGCTGGTAGGTCGCATGAATACAGAATTGAAGATGCCTATGTGTACAGAAAGTGGGATTTAACCTTCCGTTTCTGACCCTTAAGCATCCCTCGGAAATGATCTTGTGAATCTGCTGTGCCTTCAGCTGCCCACATCCCTCGTCCGGACAATTGATGCAGTGCCAAATGATATTAATGGTCGGATGTACACAACCGGCAAAACCTCAGAAATCTCTTCCTTTCCTCACTGTGTGTTTCTATTTCCGTTTATACACACATGCATAGAGGCAGAGCATGTGTTCAATTAACAATATCAGAATGCATGTCGTGTGAATAGTAAGACTAATTAGTCATAGCCGAAAGTAATGACTTCGAACTGGAGATAAATTTATCTTCGGCGCTTTTCTCATTCAATTTGCGAAATGTAACACTGATTACTTCTCAATGGGAATTGAATATCCTATTGCATTTGTTACTAAATGTCACATTGGGATATCTCATGATAATTGAAAAGCAAAATTATTTACTTTTCTATACGAAATGAACAAGGGAAATTAGCTTTCCGGCAAATGGCACAAACCTCAACTAAATGCGACCTCATCTACCATGTATGCGGTGCTAATTTGTGAATAAATTATGGAATGTTTTTGGCGAGTCTCATTCAAAATAATCACTACAGCTTATTTTCCCACAATTTCGCTATCTACTTCTTCGGGAAATCAGTGGAACATGTCATAAATTATGTCCAGCACTAAAACTCTTGGATTAGCGCCAATTTAACTTGTTGTGCGAGTGTCAGTAATGGAAAGCACGGGATAAACTTTTCCAGGAGTGTGTTTGGTATTTGGACATAATTTACTTTGAGCTTAATAATGAGTTCAACTGGAGAATTGAAATTAAAGCGAACTTTGCTGTATATTTCATGGGATGGGATTTTCACTGGAAGCGCTGTCAGTCGATTGGGATGAACCTTTTGAGCAGAGTGGTTGTTTAAGATGAAATATTGAAAACCATTCACTTTGCAAGACTCCCAAAACCCACCCGCTATTGACCATCTATACTTTGAATGCACAGTGTGCATCCCGCAAAACTCAAACTCACATGGGAGTCATATAAACTTGGATGCACGAAGAGTGGCTTAAGTTCTTTCCATACTGCTCTTTCGCCCCATATCGTATTGGAGGGACTTTCATTTTGATGAAACTCGAGAAATGTTTGTCATGATACAACTTCACTTTTCCGCATCATGCAGAAAATCTCTCGGAGGAATATCAAAATGTTTTGTATATGGCTCTGCACATGGAGCTCAACACGAGGAATGTTCGAGGCGAGCTTATTCACTTATAGCGTGGTATAATAGGAAAGCTCCCCCGGGGATGGAACTCCTGGATATCTTCGACCATCATACAATGGCATTTGTATTGCATGCAAAACAATTTAACCACTTTTATCAAATGCACATAATATTTCACGAGAATGAACGGAGAAATGCACAACAATTGGTTTCTAAAGCAATGCAATTAGTTAGAATTAGGTTAAGGGGTTTGAGTGGTTAACCAAAGAATTTTCGGCATTGCAATGAAATGAAGATCATTAAAGGAGTTGAAATAATAGTTTTATACTCATAAAATTCAGTGAAAGATTTCCTGATAATTCTCTATTTCACTATATGGTTTACTACTAGATTATTTCTGCATTGCTATGCTGTTGATAAATATTGTAATTCAGGGGCTTAAAGACACACATTTTATATCCACAATTTCCATTATCTAACTTAATGTAGCGTCACTTTAATACACCATCTCTGGTAGGAGATTCGTGAAGATAAACTATTATTAATGAGAACCCCAAAATTTGGTGTTTAATAATGGGCCATGAAATGGAGTGTCTTTGATATATATGTTCCCATATACGACCCAGTGTGGTTGAGGAACTTTAATTCCTTCACCCCCAAAATCAACTATCAACTTATCCTGACTTGCTCAAGTTTACTTTGTAGCAGTCAGTAATTTCCAAGTCATGTCCAATTATCTCATAAGTTGAGACACTTAAATAATTTAGGGAGATTTACATATTAGGATAGAGACGGTAAATAATATAGATAAAAATATAGTTACATTTCTTCTCAATCCTAGATAAATTCCACATTATTTCAAAACATTATGGATTGCAAGTAAATGTGTATTTCAAAGTACGAAACTTTTGTGATGAAGTAATGCATCATATGGAATTCGACAGTTTCCTTGCAATGGAAATGCATAATTATTGTATTAAAATTTCCCTTTACATTGTCAAGTGCATTTGCACCAGAATGCAAAATAGCATCGTTACAGGAGTTTTTCAAAACTATATGAAAGTATTTCACTGTACAAAACTAGCAAACTCATATTAGAACACGCTTATAGATTTCCCACGTTCAGATTGTTCATGGAATCAAAATTCTATTTGAAACTACAGTGATTTTAATTACTTTCTCCTATAACTTTGTGAAATATTCCCTTTTATAATATATTTGAGAGGGGAAAATGTTAGTTAATTTTAAAGCATGATTCATTCTAGTAAAACTATTCAAGCCAATGGAGATAATGTGATAAATTTATGGGAACAAACTCCACCAGCACATGATAAACGTTGGAAAAGTCAATTGAATTTGCAGCAACTTTGAAGTCACGATATTGGGGGGAAAATTATTTACTCTTATATTTAAAGTTGCACTTTATATACAAATTTCTTATGTACATGTTATAATACTATTTAGTGCAGAGCTTGGGGGACAAATTGCTTTCGAAAGTTGATGAGATCCACATTCAGGAAATTCAATTTAGACTTTGGTATTCACTTTCTAAACTTTTCACTATTACTACTTCATTAGGGATGGTCTTGGTGCGCTCAGGATACATTGTTGCCAGTGGATGAGGGTGCCCTGTGCAGCATAGAGAAGATTCAGCCCGTTGCCATGGAATGCAAATAGTTGATTCAATGTACTTGAGCAGTATTATACAGAGGCAAATGGGGAAATTTTCAACTTCCACTCAACTCATTACTTCACTTCACGTTAATAACAACCATAAATTTTCTAAGGACCACAAATATTGGAGGGAATGAAAAAGCAAGTGAATATGAGGGAGCTTCTAAAATAACATCCATTGCGCAGAAAGTGTTTCAAAATCAACAGAAATCGCATGGGATATTCATAAAATAATATTCGTACAATAAGAACATTTCGGAATATTCAGAGAAATATGTATTTTTACCTGGCTGTAAATGGCATATGGACTGAGTTCCAGGAAAATTCGCTCTTTGATGTGTAAATTAAAATGTGGTTGGTGGAAATTTAATACAGAAAATATGTTCAGAATAATCTATTGTTACATTGTCGATGCTCTCCTATCACCATCGTA